TTTGTTTTCAATAACCTCTGTCACTTTCTGCGCTATCGGAAGCGAATTATAATGACGAGGAATATGATTTAAATCATATCAAAGACGAAGTACATCGAGATAAAATACTACATTTAGTAAGGAATTATAAGCTAAATAAAACAAAAACATCTGCCCTGAAGATAAGGATAGTGCTGACAGATCAACTTCCAATTCATTGCGCGCCGCTGCGTTAAAGATAAACAAAGTTTAGATAAACAAAGGATATGCCTTTATCCATTTTTTGCAGCAATTCCACTTTTTGTTTAATGTACTTCGAAACATACTTTGGCTTTGTAGATCCTTTACTTATTAGTAAATATATATCAGAAATTCTATTTGACATAATCGAAAGTTCAAGCTCACTTTTATAAAATTGCTCTAACAGTCTGTAAAAAATAATAAGTCGAATCCAATTCGAAGATTAAGGAACAACGCAATCTGCAACATTAACTGAATTAGATAATTTTAGCTTAGCTTATACCGTCCGTTATACATTAAACGCGCATTCGTAAACGTATTTTGCGCACACGCATATTCGCAGCCTTAAAGGTCTTACGCGCATGCGCAGAAAGTTTGTAGCTTTGGGGTCCGGATTATGGGTGTCTGAATTAACGACTTTTGACTGTATCTAAATTTGTTTGTTGCAGATGGAACATACTCTAAGTTTATCCAGCACTTTTCCTTTGGACCAACAAAATAAATTTGAATGTAATATGAATAGTTTTCAGTTAAAGTTACAATACATTGTTTGACTCCTAAGGTATCAACTACCTACTTATGCACATCTGTGTGCACTAGACCTAGTGGATTTTTATATCTAAAGTTTCTTTGGGTATGGTTTTTCTGCTAATTTAGCTTTTAATGCTGGTAAGTTCTATGTTGTCTACTAGATCATCTTTCTCAAGTATTTTAATTACATCTATGCTTCTGTGCTCCACCCTCTGATTCCATTTTAGTGTATAGTTTATATCAAAACATGATATTGCATAAACAGAAAATGTTTCTCATTGATGGAGTTTGCAGTCATTTTGCAACTACTTTGTTGAGTTTTACCATAAGCTATATGTTTATTATTCTTTTTAATAGTACACTTTGTAGAGCACTGCTTGTACCGAAGCTTAACTCGGTATCCTTCAGATTGTAGACTGACAAGCAAGTTATTGCTTCTGCCTGAATTCAGAAGGGTTAATATAACCTTTTCATTGAATTCGTTAAACTAACAGGAGGCAAAACAACATAAGTTGAAGTTAAATTCTTATTTATGTAATGTAGTGTAATTGCACACAAAATAGTCTACCTAAGCTGGCTCAAGCAGTTAACAGCACATATTTAAACATCTGCTAGAAAGGTGGCTAAAGCCAGACTAAAACTTGGGCAAAGCTGATAATAGAACCCGACTGCCATGCCAGGCTGCCAGAAGTTCTTACCTTAAAACATTCAAACCACCAGCTTTTAAATACTCAACAACTAATTTGCATTCTAGTGAGAACCATGGAAAGAAGAAATTAAAGGTTAAAATCATAATAACTGGTTAATATAAAATCCTACAACTTATTACTAGAAAATTTAGTGATGCAATTTCTATTCATAAAGGATTGAACAGAAGGTAAGTTATTGTCTATCTCTGGTATATGTAATACGCTTTCTAATTTTATTTGAATAATTTGACCGTTTAAATTTTGAAACTCAAAATAGCCTTCATCTTTATCATGAGAAATTAGTTTTGCACCATTGACAAAAGTTATTGTCTGCTAATTTGCCAGGGGGGGGGAACAAAAGAAAGATGACCAATCTTTTCATATGAATTGAAGTTGTAGAATCAGTAACCTATTTTTATGCTTTTGGTTCACATACTTATCTGTATGCTTGCTATTTGGCATGTGTTACTTTTATGATTTTGCACTTTTTTCTCTGATTTATAGCTATTACTTTTTTTTAAAATCTATCTTTGCTCTTACCTTTTAAAACAATGGAATCAAACTTATGAACTAACGTGGTTACAACACATCTGCTGTATCAATATATTAATTTGTTTTTTTAATAGATTTTAAAGAGAATTCAATTTATGATTTACTTAATTAGTTGTAGTTAATTAGTTATTAATTGTAGTTATTAATGCGTTATATGAATTTGGCAAAAACATAGTAAAATTGCTATCAAATTATTTTCTTCAATTGCTTCAGCTGTACTGTGCAGCTCTTTTGGCTTAGTTCTAATATGGCCCTTTTGTACTATTGCAGTTTAAACTTTCATTATACACTGCTCAAAACAATTAAGGGCTATTGTGATTTCAATATGAAATAATCATATAATCGACAGCTTTTTTTAACAAAAATGAAATAGAAGAGGTTAAAAATGAAAATTATAACATTTAAAAAGTTGGGAATATGCAAATTTTGTCTGTGATGTCAGAAACTATGCATTTAAGGTAAGAAGTGAAAAGTGGCCTGCAACATTCCTTCTGTAGCAGGAGATTAAAAACAAGTGCCATATTATTCTGTTTTTCTGCATATGAGAAAATTTCAGAAAAAAATATAAAGTGAAAATGATGGGTTGTGGGAAGTCAGAAAAGTATAATTTTTGATGTCACATTGCAAGTCCATTATGGATATTAAGACACAGCAAATGTACGTCTCAGTTTGATCTGGATGTTTGTCATCAGCCTTAATCCTGAAATGTTACTGCTTCATATTTTTATTTGCTTAGTATTTGTAAATTTCTGACTGGCAGAAATAATGAAATCAAGAACTGTTACATGAACATTTCGATTCCATCGCAAAGTCTGGCTTAGAAATGCTGTTATAAAAATGGAAAAAATCATAAAAAAGGGCAGAATATATCATATTTCTTGAATTCTAGTATGCTACTGTTTGTAAGAAGCACCCTTTAATTTGAGTACCACCATCAAAGAAAAGAAAAAGAAAAATTTGACTTTTAAGAGCTCAAATGAAGTAAAATGCTAAAATAAACCCAGCAGGTTATTTTTTAAGAATAAACTTTGATTAGTAGTTTGAAAAATTTTGAGTGATGTTTTACCCATATCCATTATTCCAAATGCATTGTATATTGAGATATACAGTGGTGGCCAAAATTGTGGACACTTTTGGAAATTTTTATGTTTTTGAACTTTGTATGCTTATAGAAAACGTTACGTTTCATAAAATGCAAACTTGTATATACCATTTTAAAAAGAATTTATTACTGAATTCAATACAAAACACAAAATTCAATTATTTGCAATACAAAAAAAATTAAACGATAATAGTTATCGATATACATTAGATAGTGATGATTGCAGTGAGTTATCAGTGCTTAGTAGGGTACCCTTTATTTTTGATTACAGCTTCACATCGATGTTTCATTGAGCTGACAAGAGTTTTAAGCTCTTCTTTCGTTATTACATGATGCCAGGAAACAATTATAGCCTCAATTAGTTCCCTTTTATTTAATGGGCACCTCATTCGGACAAGAGTTTTCAAACGGTGCCACAAATTTTCGATAGGATTGAGGTCAGGACTGTTTCCTGGCCATGACAACAATTTAATGCTCTTTGTATGAAACTACTCTTTCGATATTTTGGCCGTGTGGCAAGGAGCAGAATCCTGCTGAAAAATAAACGAAGCGTTGTTGGGAAAGAGATCTCTGATGGAAGGTAGAAGTTTTGGTTCTAGAATAGTGTCAATGTATTTTCTGGCATTCAGTGTCCTATCGATGACATGAAGGCGACCAATACCATCTGCTGACATGCATGACCAAATCATAACACTAACTGGGTTCTTCACAGTTGCTTGAATGCAGTCAGGATGTAGCTCTTCTCCTATTCTACGTCTTACATAATTTCGCCCATCACTACATCACTATCGAATAATGATATCTTAGTTTCATCACTCCATACAACTTGTGACCACTGATCATCTGTCCAATTAATGTGTTCCTTTGCCCACTGTAGTCTTTTTTTTCATTGCTGAAAATTAAGATAAGGCTTTTTTCGTGGAATTCTACCTCTCAGTCCAACATCTGTTAATCTTCTCCTGATTGTTCTTGAACTGACAGAAACACCAGCATCATTCAGATCACTTCTGATGGCCGCTGATGACATTTTTCTATCTTGGAGACATAGTCTTTTTATTCTTCTGTCATCAATAGATGTGGTGCACCTTTTTCGGCCTTTTCCTTCTTTGTTTTTTTATTGAATTTGTCTCCTGATATCGTAAACAAAACTTTCGGACTCCAGATGTAGTCACTGAACCACCCACCTGTCTTGCAATTTCAGCATAGGAAAGACCACTTTCTTGTAACAATAATATTACATCTCTTTCAAGGTGTCCAATCTACTTTTTTATTTGATGTCATTGCTTCTTGACTAAATATTAAAAATTTTTACAAAAAATTCTACTTGTAATTGCAGTGTATAAGAAACAGGTCCTCCTTCTACAGAACAAAGCAAAATAATCAATTGTTTCAAGTGTAAACATGATGTCAGCTTCTACTGGCAGTTACTAACATTTGATTGGTTCTCAGAACAAGAACAGTGATTGGCCAGGAAAGCTAGACATTGCAACCACTTCATAACTGTGTTTTTTATTTATATTAAAGTACATATAAATTTTTTGTATTGCAAATAATTGAATTTTTGTGTTTTGTATTGAATTCAGTAATAAATTCTCTTTAAAATGATATATACAAGTTTGCATTTTGCAAAACGTAACATTTTCTATAAGCATACAAAGTTCAAAAACATAAAAATTTCCAAATGTGTCCACAATTTTGGCCACCACTGTATATGCGGTATATTAATTCTAATTAATATTTATTCAGCATGTTATTTTACCTTAATTATATGCAATATAGTGACAGCTTTTTAAGGTTTTCTATTACTGAAACTGTGATAATTCAAATCTGTTGTAACAAAAATATCTCTTTCCAAAAAGGAAAATTCCAAGTGTAAGACAATGGTTTCAGTTTACTTTGTTTCTTAGGTGCAGACATATTCAGTGCATCCAGATACAAGAATTTCCTTTCTGCTGTACCCAGATATAGGTGTTGTGTATAATGTCATTGCTAAGTATACAATAAATGGGGAAATAAAAGAAGCTGCTTATGTGCCAGTTGTAACTTATGGTTGTAATTCATTTGATTTAACTGAGTATGGATGTCGTATGTCTGGTAAGTAAATATATCTATACATTTATGTATACATTTTCTGCATTTTTTAGAAATTTCCTTAGATTAAGCATAATTATTAGTCCAAAGCGGCTTTGTCCCTGAGAGACTGTTGTTTTCATTTTGCGATTTTGTGTTGAATCACTCTGAATGTCCATTTCACTACCAAATATTATTGCCCTATATTATATTTGAAGAAATTAAATAATGAAATCTGCATAAATGTATGTATGTTTCTTGCATTGTGATAAAACAACTTTACATAGAGCCATAAAATTTTGAATGATGTAATACTGCTGCGAATATGTGTATCTGGAAACTGAAATTCGATTTTATATTTTGTAAAACTTTAATGAATTCTTTATTAACAAACTCAAGGATTTCAAAGCGAGCAATGGCAATGTTGTACAGAAAAAACATTTTTATCTCCAGCGCGTCGAAAATTTGACTGTGTATCGAAAATTCTAAAGATATGCTCAATTTAAAATTATTTTGCAATATTGCTCTTGAATTGAATTTTATGGTTTAAGTGCAAAGAACATGGTATTTAATAAATAAAGGTAACACACAAAATGTTAAAAAAATGCCCCTTTGCACGTAATTTAAAATCTGAAAACTTTCAGATTTTTTTTCTTTCATACTTTCTAATTAAAAAAATAGTGAAAAAGTATGATGCTAGTAATAATTCTCAGAGAAAAAGTATTTTGTATCAGTTGCTTTTCTCTATACTTGCGAAATTAGATATGACTGACTATACAAAGAACCAGTTGAAAAATAGTTTGACGTACACTGGTTGTATGAACTACCTAGAAATCTTTTTATTTAAAATTTAATTCTTGATGCGTTATGGTAATACAGTGAATGCATTGTTATAACAGACATCAGTATAAGGAAAAAAACGTTATTAAATAAATTGTAAATTCATTTGCAGTTTTTTAATCTGTTGTATGAAACTTTTTTGGGGGAAAAATTTGTACTTAATTTAAATTCTAAATGCAGCTCATTCATAAATTCAATTTAATAGTTTGAGATTTTTTTTAATTCGAACAAAATTTGAAAATCAGAAAATCCAGATCAGAATATTTTTGATAATTCAAAGTTTTACTAGTCCCTGAAAGTTAAAAACAGTTCACTATACTTCCTGTTGTATCTTTCCAAGAAACAAACTTTTTCATCTTTGTAAATGACCTTTATGTAGTGAATGTGCTATTTGATTTTCCATGTAGACAATCTAGTGAGATTATAATCGGCAATTTCTCTTTTTATCACTAGCTAAAATGTAATAAAGATATGAAACATATTCTAAGAAATTTTAATGCGTAAATCTCACTTGATGTGACCATTTTGATATGGTTATATGCTCTGTTTGACTGTGCTGCAAATATGATTTGAAATGGTGAGGACTAGCTATTGTTAAAGAAATTTCTTCAACACTAACATGTTCTGTATTTTATTCGAATTACATTGCATATATATATATATATATATATATATATATATATATAATGTTGTATGATCTAAATTCACTTAGTGCGAAATTGTCTTATTCTACTACTTGCGCAATTGCTGCAAAGTAAGTTAATAATAATTTATTTACTAAATAATATTGATTATATTATCTCCTAAGATTAATTTTAGTAGAATTATCTTAAAAGAGTGAATCCATACTTAGTAAGTTCTATTTCAAAACATGTTTTGAAGTAATTTGAATGTAAATTGTTAAAAATGTTTAACGGGGACTTGAATTAAATCATGAATAACAAAATTTCAATTGTAAAAAGAAATATATTTAAAGCAAGTAATTAAATTAAATGCAAGTAATCATTGCCATTGTTCGGAAATTAGTTGACTTTTCAAGGGGAACAAACCAACTCTCTTTCAATGAACAATAATTAAGAAATAAATACAAAGGTGTTTTGTCCTTTACTCGAGCAATAAGGCGAAGCGAAACGGGCAATTTAAGCTAGGCCAAACATTTCCATGAATAGAAGGGATTAAGAACCAATGCAGAGAGCCAAAGAACTCATTCCAATTAAGCATTTTAGCTAATTCAATTTTGAGTGACAAGCAATTTCTGCAGTAAAATTGATATCACTCGAGTAACTGTCCCCCGACACCCTCGTGTTTATGCATTTTAGTTCAAAACTATTTGTAAAAATTAAACATTGGAAATTGTCATTATGAAATAGAATTCAAAGTAATTAAAATAAACATTAGAAAATTACAAAATATAAGAAAAATAATTCAATCTTTGTAAAAACAAATAAAAAATAAAAATTTTTTAAAATATATATAAGAAACGTGAATGTACATGAAGATATAAAGGCCAGAAAAAGTATTAATTAACTTACTCCCTTTCTAGTGGGTAGTGGGCAAAGTGTTCATTCGCGTCTGACTCGGAAGGGTTGTGTTTCAGAAATTCTTATCGGCAGCGGGGGCTTTGAATTATATCAGTTGGTAAGACTTGTGTGAAGTAAATTATGGTAGTGGGAGAGACTAGGAATTCTTGAGGGACATATGTTGTGGAGCTCGTATTTGAGTGAAACCGTCTGTTAAAATTTTTTTGAAAATTCTAGTGAATGGAAATTAATTAATTTTTGGCTAATTGTCGTGTCGTAACGATTAAGAAATTAAGAAAAAGAAAAAAGGAATTTTCATTGTCAAAGAGCTATTTGACAGACTAAAGATTATGAAATAGGCCCATTTTTTAGTAACAGCAAAGTCTGAAGACAATTAGCTTTTTACATTATATACAGATTAGTAATTACACTATGTACAAATTCTTCAACTTATAGTCATCCAACTTATACCGCCTTCTCAGGTTTAGGAACAAATTATCATATCCCTATCAGTTAAATGATTTAGAGTGAGTATTTAATTGCCTTAAAAGAGCAGGCGTTAAATACTGGTATTTTCAAAAAACCATTTACTAGTATTTTCAAAAATATTTTAACAGACGGTTTCACTCAAATAAGAGCTCCACAACATACATCCCTCAAAAATTCCTAGTCCCTCCCACTACCATAAATTACGTCACACAAGTCTTACCGACTGATATAATTCAAAGCTCCCGCTGCCGATAAGAATTTCTGAAACACAACCCTTCTGAGTCAGACGCGAATGAACATTTTGCTCACTACCCACTAGAAAGAACGTAAGTTGATTAATACTTTTTCTGGCCTTTATATCTTCATGTACATTCACTTTTCTTATTATATATTTTTAAAAAATTTTATTTTTTGTTTTTTGATATGTTTTTACAAAGATTGAATTATTTTTCTTATATTTTGTAATTTTCTAATGTTTATTTCAACTACTTTGAATTCTATTTCATAATGAAAATTTCCAATGTTTAATTTTTACAAACAGTTTTGAACTAAAATGCACAAACACGAGGGTGTCGGGGGACAGTTACTCGAGCGATATCAATTTTACTGCAGAAATTGCTTGTCACTCAAAATTGAATTAGCTAAAATGCTTAATTGAAATGAGTTCTTTGGTTCTCTGCATTGGTTCTTAATCCCTTCTATTCACGGAAATGTTTGGCCTAGCTTAAATTGGCGGTTTCGCTTCGCCTTATTGCTCGAGTAAAGGACGAAACACCTTCGTATTTATTTCTTAATTATTGTTGATTGAAAGGGAGTTGGTTTGTTCCCCTTGAAAAGTCAACTAATTTCCAATCAATGGCAATGATTACTTGCATTTCATTTAATTACTTCCTTTTAATTTATTTCTTTTTACAATTGAAATTTTGTTATTCATGACTTAATTCAAGTCCCCGTTAAACATTTCTAACAATTTACATTCAAATTACTTCAAAACATCTTTCGAAATAGAACTTACTAAGTATGGATTCACTCTTTTAAGATAATTCTACTAAGATTAATCTTAGGAGAAAATATAATCAATATTATTTAGTAAATAAATTATTATATCTATCTATATATATATATGATGTATCAGCTTTTGTCCGAAATAAATAGATTTGTGAAGAATCAATCATAAATGTAGTCATAGCTTAAATTATCAGACGATAAATTTAAAAAACAGGATCCATTTATTATTGGTCAGGAGAAATAGCAGTTACAAAATCAGATATCCGGAGTAAATAAAAAAGAATTACTAATAACATTTTGTATGAAGTTTACTGCATCGTGACATTTAAAAAAAGCTCCCGATATTCTTTTTGCGAGTCCTTTTATAGCCTCTGGAAAGGCGGAGCTTCACAGAAATGACGTCAGCTGCGTCAGCCAATCCAGTTCGCTTTAAATATTTCCAGAACATTCTATAACTGTACGTGTAGAAAAGGCGGGAAAAATGTCTAATCATAAATCATAAATGAATCATAAATATTTAACTATGTCTAAATCATGCGGTTCTAACTATGAGACGCGCTCAAAATTCGAAGACAAAGCTGTATCCCAATTCACAATTCTTCAGTTGTAAAAAAAAAAACACAGCATAAAGGATTGAAATTCTTCACTTCTTTCCAGCAAACGATCTCCAAATCATGCGGTTCTAACTATGAGATGCGCTCAAAATTCGAAGACAAAGCTGTATCACAATTCACAATTCTTCAGTTGTAAAAAACAGACACAACTTGCACTTAAAAAGTTCTTTCTCTTCCATTCCATTCTCATCCATCTTTCCAATTATTTTCCTTTTGGGTACACCCATCCTGCCGGCTCCTTGTGATGTACCAGCTTTTGTCCGAAATAAATAGTTTTGTGAAGAATCATAAATGTAGTCGTAGCTTAAATTATCAGACGATAAATTTAAAAAACAGGATCCATTTATTATTGGTCAGGAGAAATAGCAGTTACAAAATCAGATATCCGGAGTAAATAAAAAAGAATTACTAATAACATTTTGTATGAAGTTTACTGCATCGTGACATTTAAAAAAAGCTCCCGATTTTCCTTTTGCAAGTCCTTTTATAGCCTCTGGAAAGGCGGAGCTTCACAGAAATGACGTCAGCCAATCCATTTCGCTTTAAATATTTC